GAGGAAACTATTTGTCAAAAAAATTACCAGAATCTTTTTTTTTTGGTCTGTATTGTTACAGACAGACACACTCGCAGACAGATATTTTGAAATATTGTGTGCAGAATATTTAATATTTTGGCACAGAATTCCCCTAGGAGAAGGAATCCACAGGAAACCTGTGATCTGGGTTCTGATCTCAGCCCCCCGGGGTCAATCCGGAGTCACTCCTGAGTGCTATGGGGACAGGGCTGGGTTCTGATCTCAGTCCCCCGGGGTCAATCCGGAGTCACTCCTGAGTGCTATGGGGACAGGGCTGGGTTCTGATCTCAGTCCCCCGGGGTCAATCCGGAGTCACTCCTGAGTGCTATGGGGACAGGGCTGGGTTCTGATCTCAGCCCCCCAGGGTGAATCCGGAGTCACTCCTGAGCGCTATGGGGCAGGGCTGGGTTCTGATCTCAGTTCCCCTTGGGAGGGGGTCAATCTAGAGTCGCTCTTGACTGCAACGGGTGGAGCGCCGAGTTCTGGTCTCAGTCCCCCATGGTCAATACAAGGAGTTTGAATTGACTTTTGAGGGGAAAGTTCAGGGGTCAGCTCCTCTTGTTCCCCCTCCCCCCCCTTCACCATCCTTAATACTAAAGTTTCCCCAGGCCCACAGATAATCAATTCCAGACACCCCGCTCTGCCCAGCAGCCAGCAGCCTGGAAAAGAGACGTCTCGTTAGGGGCCAGATCCCAGAGCGACTGGATCCTACAGCCTGGGATCAGACACACGCCCTGGTCTCATCCCTCCCCCTCCCCACCCATGGGCACACGCCCTGGTCTCAGATCCCCCCATGGGCACACGCCCTGGTCTCAGATCCCCCCATGGGCACACGCCCTGGCTGTCTCTGATACTCACCGAGGAAGAGGACGGTCAGAGCAGATGCCATGATGGGGGCAGCGAGGGGCCCCTCAGCACTGCCACCAATGCTCTGGAGCAACTCCACTGACCCCCAAATAAGGAACTCAGCTGGTGGCTCCAGCTACAGGAAGTGGACGATGTGTCGTCTCTTCCTGTGTCCATCACACCTTGTCTCTAATCTGCTGGCGAAATCTAGGGCAGGCAAAACAAGCAGAGGTCTCTGCAAAACCCAGGAAACCCTGGCCAAGTGCCATGCAGCTCACAGCTTGTCTGTGTCTCTGTGGAATGGGAGGACAGGTCTCAATATACCCTGCAGCCTGGGGGAAGGTGCACCAGGCTGGAAACCAGGAGATCACAGGGTCTGGTCTTCGATCTTTGACTGACCACTATTTCCATGCAGATTCCCCCGGCCCTGCTTTATTCCATTCTGGCTTCAAACATGGCTGGCAACCGATAAAGGTAAAATTAATACGTGATCCCAAAATTAAAGGATGGCATTGTAATGCATGTGCACAAGGGGGCAGAGTTAAGGGTGTTTGGGAAACCTTAACTGTGGTTCTGGAGGGTTTGACTCTGCAGCCTTCCTGCTCAGCCTGCAAACCTGCCCAGGTTTGACAGGAACTGTGGCACTGTGTGAGGAGCAGGGGCACTGGGGAACGCCTGGGTTTGCTGCTTCTTGCGCCATAATTGAGTGTTGATCGCCTGGTTCTAAGGGTCTTTTCTCAGCGTGTGAACTAAATCAATGAGGTTCAAAAGAAAATCTGAGAAAGAGAAATTCCATCTTGTGCCCCCAGTGGGTCTGTGGCAGGTTGCTCCCCCTGCCTCTGGGGTGCCACGTGATGTACTGGGGTACCACTGAGCCCACCGGTTCCACCAGCCTGGGCTCCCTCACACTGGCCTTCTCAGCCAGGCCCTCAAGCCTTCCCTAGCACACACACAGGTAGGGACACAGCCAGCTACAGAAAGACACAGACACTGAAACCAGCTTGGCGTGGGAAGCCTTCAGCTCTCAAGTGCACCCCCCCCCTCTGGAGTGTAAACCCAAACTGTACTGTCTTGTGCTGCACAGAGAACGGTACAGTGTAAGCGCATGAAATCCGCTCCCTCCCGCAATGGGAGGAAGATCTGCACATCTTTTTGCCCCCCAGTTAAGAATTCCACAAACTGGTTTTAGAAAAACAAAAACAAGTTTATTAGCTACAAAAGACAGATTTCAAGTGATGATAAGGGATAGCCAACAGACCAAAGCAGATCACCCAGCAAATAAAACCAAAACGCAATATGAGCTTAGATACTAAAGAAACTGGTTACAAGCAGGAATTTCTCCCCCTAAATGTTGTTTTAAGCAGATCGCAGAGCTTCTTGATGGCAAACTGTTCTTGCCTGCAGCTTAAAACTCCAGGTATTCCTGTCACAGGCCAGACACCTTTCCCAGCCTGGCTCAGACCTTCTCTGCCCCCCACCCTCCATTTGTCTTTGATAGATGTTCTCAGCAGTCATCCTGGGTGGGCATTCAGTGAAGAATAAACCCTGATTATCTCACTTCCCAGCCTTCAATAGGTTTAACATATGGTGGGAACCCTTTGTTTTCCAGTTTGGTTCCACCTCCCACTTCAGTGGAAAAATACTGGTATTCCATTATGGAGTCCAGTACCAGGTGAATTAATCACATGACCCTGCAGGGTCAAAGCAGCCTTGAGTCAGAGTTTGTAGCATCCCAGGAAATTTCTGAGGAAGGCGGGATATTAGCATCTTCAAAGATTTATTTTTCTCCCTAATGGTCCATTGACTGGTCCCCAGCTAGCCAGCCAGACTGGTTGCATTCTGTCAGGTGGGCGTTCCCCAGGGGCAAACACTTTTTCAGTACAGATGTATAGTCAATATTCCTAACTTTAGATACAAAAATGGTCCATGCGTACAAACAGGATAATCGTAGTCAGTAAATCATCACCTTTCCAATGATGCCTCACAAGACCCATCTTGCATAAAGCACCATCTTAGTTATGCTGTAATCATATTATAACAATATTTCTATGAAGAATACGGGGTGTAGTGTCACAGGGTCGCCAGCCGGGAGAGGCCCAGGGACCTTCTAATG